GAAAACCACTTATCATTTCTTTGTGTTAGGAACATTCAAAATCATCTCTTCTAGCTGTTTGAAAATATACAATAAATTATTGCTAACTATAGTCATCCTACAGTGCTATAGAACACTAAAATTTATTCCTACCTAGCTGTAATTTGTATCCATTAACCGTCCTCTACCTACAGAACCAAAATAGCACTTAAAGTGTAGATTACTAGTAAGTAATTATCTAGATAAATTATTTAAATAACATCTAGAATCTATTATGAGCAGTCCTTAATCATACTATCAAAACAAACTATTACTGAAATGGTATTCAACTTCTAAATTTTAATTCTTAAATTGGCAATTGTCAAAGGGAAGTTACTGAAACTTTAATTCTAAGCCTGATACACTGTGGGATGTCCAAAGTTAGGCATGGAAGAACCTGTATCTCAGTCAAACTGGGAGTCCAGTGGTCTTTTCCTTTTCTCCTAAATCAAGAATCACCATTCTTTGCTGAGGTGGTTCTGGAGAAATGCCTCAAGCAATTATTCTATTAATTCTATTAATAAGGAGGCCTTTAGTAACAAGAAATAAGGTGGACAGTATCCTCTCATTTTTTTTTTATTGTCCAGTACCAAAGAAATAAACCTGACCAAACTAACCAAAACCAAAGGAGAAAATGCAGCAACTTTCCATTCTACCAAATTCCTGCACAACAGCCTCAAAATCCTCACCATTTCAAATTACTTTAAAATGCTGGATCTCAAATACAAGCATGTAAAAAGTCACCAGGAGAGGTTGTTAGATTGCTGGGCCCCACTCCCAGAGATTCTGATTGAGTGGATCAGAATCAGATAATCTGCATTTCTAGTAAGCTCCCAGGTGCTGCTGCTGCTGCAAGGACCACACTTTGAATAGCACTGGCTTTGACAATCTTTTATTATGGATGCACAATTTAGCCACTTTTCTGCTGTTGAACATTTGTTTTCAAATATATGTTCCTATAAATAATGTTTCAATAAACACCTTTGCACATCATCAGAAATAACCTATAAACTTTTTAAGTCTCCTGATATATATTGCCAATTGATATATATTGCCTAAATATACTGACATCCCACTGCTGGCAGTGTATATGAATGCTGGCCTTATCAATTCTGACTCACTCAGGGTATTATCAATTATTAATATTGACATCAATTTACTAGAAGAAAAAAGTCATCTCATTTTAGTTTACAGTTCCTTGTTAGTGAAAAATTTTCACTTACATATTAGCAATTTATATTTCTTTTATTGATTTGTTTACATTATGTGCCTTTTTTCCCTAGGTATTGTCTAAATTGCTTATCAATTAAAGCACTCCCTGTCATAAATTTTGCATATAATTTTCTCACTTGCCATTTATCATTGTTTATGTTATTTGACATACAGGATTTTGAAAACTGGAAGTTATCTAATCCACCAAGCTTTTTTCTGATACCTTCCATTGCTATTATGCATGGAAAGTCATTTCTCCCCAAAATAAATAATTTACATTTATAGTTTTTAATTTTTTGTTTTTTTTAACATTTGTTGTCCTATATTATTTTAATATAAAAATGAGAGCAGTAGCTACCTTTTCTTTGTTTCTACAAACCAATTTCCCCCAACAAGTCTCTTTTTCTGCCAGAACATGTGATTCCATCACATTCAAGGGTTCAAATCATCTTTGTGATTTGTGTCTACTCTGTTCCATTTAAATGTCTAGTAAATGTGACGTCAGTATGACATTGTTTCAAATAACATAGCTTTTAACATCTGGCAGAGCAAGCCCCGCCACATCACTCTTCATGGGCAAACTAATACATTTGGGTCTCAGTTCTCACAGACGTAAGATGGGTCTGTGCCTATCTTGCAAGCTTGCTAAGAGGAATTAACTGAAAACACCCATATGCGGACACTTTGAAACTACAAAGAACATGTAACTATAAGTTATTATTTATATCTGACTACAGTATTATCAATGACCTCTTCAAATAATAAATTCTCAGGTGGAGGTAAAATTAAAATCAATAAAACAGAACCTTGTTAGTTACAAATGAATATTTTTACGTTACAGAAGATGTCTAATGGACTCAACACATATAAACGTTTCTTGGATAGAAAATATCCCTTCTAGCTTGTTTGAATAAAAGGAAAAACAAGTTGGTGCCTGTTTGTTAAACAAAGAAGGAGAAAAGGGTAGTAAAATGCTCCTTAAATTCATGCAAGATTTTAGTTTCTCATGGCTGTGTAAAAAGTTCATAAAGCTAGCTTCATGAATATAGTCAATTTAATTGCTTTCTTAATCCATTTGATTGGATTCCACAAAGAAAAGATATTGCTAGAATGGGAATACATACCTTACTACCATTTTGGATCCCAAAATGCACATACTGAATACATGGCCTGCTCTAATATAAGAATTCACACAACAGAAAACACTCCCATTCAAGGAAGAAATAAATTCTGTACTAAGACAAATTTAGCACCTCAAAGGTGTTAGTGCCACCTCCTAAAATAGCTCAAAAGGCCCAAGATTACTTATATGGTACACAGAACAATAACTTTTCATGCAGTAGTGAAAAGTAGGGACGTTACAGAATCTTATTTCCAATTCCCTCAATTAATAGGCTTAGAACTGAGGCTCAATAGCGAGGTCCAAAAGCTCAATTTTTGGCTGAATTAAGTTTCAGACTTACTTTAGCTCATCACCGGTTTCCTGTTCACTGTCTTGTGTTGTATCCAAAGAAAAGGCATCTGAGAGTTCAGCTGAGTTGGACTCTTGCTCTTCTGTTGGAAGTGTCTGTGTTCCCAGGGAGCCACGGATCATCTCCCTCTCTCTTTTGATGGCTTCCTCGTGATGGTCACTGGGATTCTGTAAATCTTTCTCAGTTTTATCATGGTCATCTTTGAAAGAAGAATGTTTAGCTTCACCCAGAGATGATTTTCCTGAGATATTGAACAGGTTACCAAGAAAGTGAAAAAAGCTTTCTTTTGGCTGTCTATCACTTTCTCCTATTTTGGTTTCTGAAGTAGAACCGGAAAGATCATTTGGCTTTTTGAGATCTCCCTGTGTTGGAAGAGTGACTGGCTTCTCAGCATGGTTCCTTTTGTCCTCACTTTGGGGAATCTTTGAAAACAAAATAGAGAACAATAAGCATCATCATTTAAAAAATAAAATAGATTGACTGATAAGCTATTACAAGACGGACTCTTGTGTTAGACACTAGAATACATTTGTGAATAAGGCTGATGGCTTCTGTTCCTTTGGGCAGTTAACAATCTACTAAAGAACACAGTCAGCATGGCCTCAGCAAAGCCATATAGTAAATGCTGTGGGAGGAGATGCACACCACACATTGGGGACCCAGAACAGGAGTAACTAGTCCAGATTTGGTAGAGGTGAGAGCAGAGGTGGTAACTAGGGACAGAAAAAGTGACTACATGATGTTTATGCCTCTTTGTGTGTGTGTGTTTGATGACATGTCAGCTTCTAAGGGAGTTGATATGATTGGAGGTTAGAGTACAAAAAGAAGAGTGAGAGGTAAGTATGGAGAGATACGTAAAAGGAAAGTAAAAGTAAAGGACAGCACCAAATACAGATAATGGAAAACCTTACGTGTATTTAAATTTAGCCTTTATAATTACAGAGCTAATGGAGAATATTTCAAACATTTGGTACTTTAGACTTTAAATAAACCTCATATTTGAGCACTGAGTTAACTCATGAAGCCATCACACTATGTAAAACTGTTCCTTATGAGGATGAGGAAAGACAGTAACATGGTGCTTCAATTCAGAGATAACCCACTGTGTCCCCTTGATGGTAAAACATGAAGTCCTGATACATATATTACTGCCAACTGGACTGCACCAAGCATTCTTACAGAGATTAAACACTTCCAGAGGTGCATTTTACCTGCTCATAATTAACTTACTGGTAAAGCTCACATTCATTCATACTCTGTGTGAGGAAAAATTGAGCTGCTATATTAAAGAACATGCTGGCATTCCACCTCACACTCTTCCCAAGATTCCAAAAGGTTTCAGGCCAATGTGCCAACTCACCCTGCCTTCCAAACATGCTTGCTTGCATACTTGTAAAAGGAATGCACGTCTGACAGTATCTGTCATCGGTTATGCTCACTAGCCCTTATAAAAGGAAAACTCAAGTGTGAGTCAGAAATGATCAGAACACAAAGGCAAAACCACCTTAGGGCACTTTAGATTCACACGACGAAGTTTTGTAAGAAGCTGATCTTCCAGAAGACAAGAGCATTGTAATTATATTACTTGTTCACCTCATTCTATGTTTTAATCTAAGTTCAAAACAGTCTAAAGGAACATTTCACTAATCACTAAGAAAATTTAGCATATGAAAGGCTGAGAAAATGTTTAGAACCTATTAACCCCAGCAAGCTGATTGCAAGCAAACGATATTCTTAAGTTTGTTCCCACCTTAGGTGTCAAAGAGCATTTTTTGGTAAACACACAGCATTTATCTACATATTAGAACTTAATATAACTTGTGAGCCTCTACATTTAGAATAACACCAGCCTTCTAGAGTCACCACAAGTCTCACCTTTCACAGGTTTCAACTGCAACTTAATTCTACCTGTCTCCACACCTCACCTGTCCAAGCTTCTGCACATTCTGAGAGCCAGCACTATAAGTTACCTGTGCCTTTTCCTCATGTAAACATCATAAATGGCCTCTCAGTTTGGCAACAGAAGATACGCTAGTGGACGATTTGAAAATGCTCATTTATATGAAAGACATACTTTTTTTTGTTTTTTAATCCATTGAATTTGTTATAATTTCTAGCCACAGTAT